TGAAAGGTACTTTTGTGAAAGGAAGCATGTTGACCCTTTACCTGGAAGTCCCTGTTTAAGCACAGATACTTTAATACCAAATTATACTTAAAGTACCAAAAGTAAAAGTACCCTACATACATGAATATATATAAGAAAGATTGGTCCATATGTTGTTGAAGCAGTAAATCTGTTACCTTGCTTGACAGAAGAAGAATGTATAATTATTTCCCACCACTGAATAAACAAATTTGTGTTTCATTCTTCTGTAAATTAAACCCACTTTTAAAGATCCAGTTAATATTTTTAAAACCACAGTCTGGGCGTTTTTCATTTTTGTGAAGGTTAAAAACTATTTTATGCAGGACAAACTCTCCTCATTACGCAGAGACAAATACACAACATAATCAGATTTTCATTCATGTGAATATCGCTTTAATGTTGCATCTGGAGATGATTTTACTTACTGTTTATACTGCTGGGTAACTTTATTTAAAAATAATACAGCATCATATATTTTTAAGCCTGCTAAATAAAAATGAACTAAAGTTTTACAATAAATGCATCAATACTTGATTGTTCCAAGGCTGGTCCTAACAAAGCTCTCATTGTAAGACTGACTGGCTCGCTCTAGTCCAATAGGATTGGTTGGCAGGCTCTGGTCACGCGCCAATCAAAATATCCAAAATGCAGGTTGCTGAAAGCAAAAGCACTTTCTGCTAGCAAGCAGAGAGATGGAGTTTAAGTCCAGTGACGTCTGGCCTTTCTGCATGAACAAGTATCGCTGGGTAAGATACTGAACCCTGAGTTGCCTCCAGTGCATTGGTTGGAGTGTGAGTGTGTGAGGTTGGGTTAAATGAGCTTAGGCATAGAATGTGTGTGTATGAATGGGTGAATGACGCTTGCAGTAGAAAAGCACCATCTATATTACATTTGTATTAATGTGCAGCTGTGTTTATGAGTGAGTGCCATCTCAGGGAACGTATGATTGATGCACATGACAGTGGCAAACATCATCACTGTAAGTGTAATGCGTCCTTTCAGTGCGGCGCTTTAAGCTGACCTTATTTCTTACTTGTTTCTTGTGCTGACTATAAGAGACTGTAAGAACTTAACACCAGATTATGGTGTTCCCGGAGATTATTTAACATGGTTACTTAACAGACTTTGGATTAATTAAAAAACAGGTATGTCTCTTTAATTAAGTGAATTTCCATTAACTTTAATTATAAAATCAATGAAATATCTTAATAAGAAGTGACGTCAGCCTGCCACGGCCTGCTGGGGAGTGAATCTGGACTTTTATGGAGGGACAAAAGTGAAGGAGAATGTGTGAAACCAGACAAAACGGTGTTTGTTGATGGACTAGAAGCCAGAATTGTGACCGAAAATGACAGTTTGATGAACTGCGCCTCCCTCCATCAGCTCCATTACAACATAGGACTTGAAATTAAACATAAATGGCCTCGTTCTCTGTGATATGAGATGTGGAGGATGAAGAAAACCCTAGCAGAGCTTTCTTTACTTGTCGCATCTAAACGCACCAAA